ATTAATGAAATAATTTATTTTTGGTTGAATAACATAACATTTTATAAAGATAATAATTAAGTATTCTGTTAGAACTTAATGATTATTCTAATTATATTTTAGATTTTTTATATTTAAAATTAGATATTTATCATGTATTTGATTGTGTTTATCTACAGTTAGTTATACGAATTCATATATGGGATGAAATCGGATAGGGATGAAATCTGGTTTAAGAGTTTTTAAGAGTTTTAAGAGTTTTTAAGAGTTTTAAGAGTTTTTAAGAGTTTTAGCCAAATGCTTTATAATATAGTATAGATTTAACGATGATATAAATTACACTTGGTCTTTACATATTAATACAATTTGAATAAATAAGAGTTATGGTTCCAATTACAGTTTATCGATGAAAAAAATTGTATGGCAGATTAAAATCCAGTATATTTAAAATCCAACATATTTAAACGACTCCATAAATGTGTTCGATTTACACCAAGAGCAAAGAATCAAGAGAGCGAGACCGAAAGTTCTAGAGTAATTGAATGAGAGATGAATGAGAGAACTTTTAATAACTCATGATGAATATCAATTTGAATCCCACCTTGGGGGATGAGGAGAAGATATAGATGTACGAGAATGTGAAGGCATGAGTAAAATGCGTCAAAAGTATCTTGGAAACATAAAAAGAAAAGGTAATAATATGCATTGGTAACTTGTACTATATGTTATTTTAATTGTAAATTAAGAGATTTTAAGACTAAATGCATAAAACAGTAGTACTTAATGAATTATAAGTTGTTTTTAAGACTTTGTGCATAAATTTGTGCCTTAAAAATTGTTTTTAAAACTTTTGAAAAATCTGGTTTATAAGATAATATAGATATAATAAAAACACTTCATATTATTTGATTAATCTATTTTTTTAATATACCAATAAAAATAAACAAACATAAATAAATAAAGAAAAAGGAATGGAATTGTGGTGTTGGTTAGAATGTTTTAAGGGATATAATTAAATGAAGTAATATTATGATAATAACCCATAAATGGAAAATATTGAAATTGGGCATGGTCACTCAAACACAACCAACCGGTGGTCCACAAGTACCATGTGACGGTCACTGCACCACTCCACTAGGCTCGAATCGAGTTGTTTTATAAATAGTGAGAGAATTTTTTTAAAAATAAATAATTGAAAATTGAAAAAACGTAAAACAATTACATAAATAGAGAAACGTATTTATAGTCAATTTTATATTTTATGAAATACATATTTTGAAAGATACAATGTTTATTTTTAAAATATGATAGTGTTTTCGATGATATATTTCAAGAATAAGTAATTTGAAACTATAAATGTTTAAATAGATATTTAAAAATTAGAAAAATATTTTAAAATTAAGAACCGAATTTTTAGTGTTATTTGTATATTCCATCTGTTCAGGAAAAAATGTTCATAACCAAAAAAACACAATTATAAAGATGTAATTATCATTTTTTTCAATCAACGAAAAAACATTTATATTCTTAATTAAATATATAAATTTTATTCATTTCATAATTAAAAAATATAACAAAAAATTAAACATTTATTTTGAAAAATGAAAATAATACAAAGACTGTTTTAAAAACTTTATTTTAAAATAAAATACAGTAAAAATAATATTTAATTTAGGATAATATGTAATAAAGATAGAGGAGGGTTGGTGTGGGGCTTACCTGTAAATGAAGACAGTTGGGTTGGACATTTATAGTTTTGGAATTGGATGGTAACTTTTTCAGTCACTTGATGTTGTACAACTTCATTTTTCATTGGTATGTCATCATCATAATATTCTGGACTAAATTACGTTTTTAGCCTTGTTGTTTCTTCAAAATTATAATTTTTATTCATATAATTTATAATTTATTATTATTTTTATCTTTATAATTTATATTTTTATCTTCACAGATACATTTTGTAATTATTCAAAAACAACTTGAAACGTTGAATAAAATTATACTAACAAACATATAGAGTTGGATTTCGTTGATAAGAACAATTATGATAAAAAAAACGTAAGAAAATATATTCATTCTTAGATCAATCATAATTAAATGTCAATACTAATAAAAGTACACCAAGATGTACCGAATCATTTCCCTTCTAAAACGCGATTAGTGGACAAACATGAGATTAAAAATGATCAAGTGTTTAGATCTTTTCTTACGTTTCTCATCATAATTTCACTTCTCACCCGACCTGATACTTCACCCAAACGACATAATACTCCTATATGCAGTTTATTTAATAATATGTCTCAATTGAAATATAACTTATTCGCATCAAATGCTATTTTTGTATTTATTCACCACTTTTATTAATCCAATCAAGACAGATGATACATCTTACATGTATCAACAACATTACTTAAATAACAATATTCCTTTCTTATAGGAAAAACATTGAAATATTATATAGCTTATTCTAGTAAGCTTGTTTATTTCATTCACTTTTACAGTTTTGTTTCATCCCAACATCAGTTTTCGACCATCTTTTTTTAACAAATTGTTTATACAGATATTGTTCTATTTAAAATATCGATGATGTGACGTTAAATGTTTGTGCAATTCTGGTAGCACTTGATAAAATGGATTTTCTAATAACGACTTGACGTTAAGTTTGATTGATAAACTTATCATAAAACATCTATAATTTGATTGATATAATTTGGTTATGAATTTCTATTCAACATGAATATGCTAAATTTAATAAACGAATAGTTTTCTTTTAGCCCTTTAACTACATACAATTACAATATACTCCCTATCTGTTCGAGTTTTGATACAATGATACCCCGGCTTCACCGCGTCCAATATAAACAAGCTTTTGAGATATTTTTCAGAATAAAAACATATTATGCTACTTTAGAAAAAATACACACCAGTACCCTAAATATTACATGCAATAATAAATTACCTGAAAAACAACGAACACATGCTCTTATAAGAAAAGCACATACATGATGTAGTATCATGCTATAATAAAATGTCCCAAAACATGTGAACCGTGATAGATTTTTATTCGTTGGCATGACTTATTTGATTGTATGATAATAGTTGAATTCACCATTTTCCAAATTCATTGAAAAACTGAAGAAAAACGAGAGTACTCTAATGATTCAACTTGAAAATATAACATATAAAATATCTTACATAATACAATTTAATAAACTTAACTGGGATGTACATCGTAGGCTAACCGTATCAAATATTGTCCGTTTCGTCCACTCATGGACTCACGGTTTTAAAACGCGTCTGATAGAGGAAACATCCAGTCCCTTATAAGGCAATATTAGTTCCCCTTCTAACTAATGTAGGATCTTAAATTGACAGAGGATCAATCGGTTGACATGACAGACCATCGGCAAATGGTAAAGAAGGAAAAATACATTGATACCAAATTTTGTTTATAAATTTATTTTGATAAACTGTGTTTTTTCCTTTATTTTTATAAATGTTTTTTTAAGTATATAATGATATACGACTAGTGAAAGTCTCATAAACTTTTCATTTTTGACGAGGTTGAAACTTTGAAACCGTTGACCTTGAAAATGTTGGTTATCAGATATTGTTAGGTTAAAGGACCAACATGGACAAGAATTAAGCTGGTTAACTTAAAATGAAAATTGTTAAAATAATAAGGGGGTGAGAATGTAAATTCTATAGAGTATTGTTTGTTTCTTAATTATATATATATATATATAAAATCTGAGAGAAGCTTCCCTTCCACTTTTCTAATTTGTTGCTAACCCCCCTTTCTTTATTATTTTATAATTAAGCCACGATATTTAATACCTTCTCTCCAACGAACTGTAGATACACAAAACACAACGTAAATCTTTAAATGATTGTATGTAGAGAGAGAAACAGAGACCGAAGAGAGAGAAAGCGGTCTACTTTTTAGATCTGCTCTGCTCTACCTGCTTGTGAGCTCTTTCAATGTTAATTCACAAGTTCCTCAAGTAGAGATACGTATCTGACCAAACACCCCCAAAAATTCACCGACTTAGAATCACATTTTGTCAATTAGCTCAATGCCCGTGTGTCTGTGTTGGTCTGATACGTGATCTTTGAGCTTAAAATTCAGGAATTGATCTGTTATTTTGGAACAAGTGACGTGGGTAAGTTGTTAGATCTTTGACTGATTTCATTTGCACTTTTTGAAGTTCAGTCTCTGTCTTTGAGCTTTGTATTTCCAAAATTGTTCTGGCTTTGTGTTTGTGGAAATGGCGAAATGGGTGTTCGGTAATAATATAAGATGATTTTCCTGCTGCTTTGCCGGAGCTCCGATGAGGTTGCCGAATTTCTTTCATTGGCTCCTGAATTTTGAGTTTGACGATGTGGAATTGAGCATTTGATACAGAAGCACATATATATGTATTTATAGTCTATAGAGAGAGAGGGTGAGGGGGAGAAATCATGTTCAAGTCAGCGAGATGGAGGAGCGAGAAGAACAAGATCGAATCGATATTCAAATTGCAATTTCATGCAACTCAGGTAATATCCTTTTTATCTAAACGATGTTTAATAATCTATTAATGTGTATCTTTTCATTGAAATGATTGAATGCATTATTGCATACTTTGTGTTTGTTTAAATGTTTGAGTTAATATAGGCATTATTTACTCGAAATTTAATGCAGTTATATAATTTACTGTAAATGTTTCCTAAATAATATGCAATTATATATGTAATTTGGAAAACATTTCTTCATTTCGATCTCTAAAAATACTAAAATCAAGGAAATCAATGGCTGCTTATTTCCTGCATTTCGTGAAGCATGTTGGGTTTACTTTATGACTACTTTCAAGATTCATATAACATTTGTTAGTGTCTTCTTGCGTTTCCTGGGCACTGAAAATGGTGAATCTGGTTCATATCTGGTGAAAACTTTCCATGAGTTCATAATTAACCCAACTAACAGATTCTTATTTGAATCAAGGTCAAGAAAATGGTTCTGTTTTGTAGTTTGAGAAAAGTCAGACTTACATTGACCAGTGTTTTCTTGGTGGTCTAACACTTACATGGATCATTGGTGTTGCATACGCAGCTAAAACAGTTAACAGGAGATACTTTGATCATATCTATCATTCCAGCCGATACTGGAAAGCCGACAACCAGATTAGAGAAAGCTAAAGTTAAAGATGGAAGCTGTTATTGGGAAAAACCACACTATCAAACTCTGAAGTTCGTTCGTGATCCCAAAAATGGAAAGTTTAATGAGAAAGTCTATCACTTTGTTATGGCAACGGTACAAACCATTTGAGATGTTTCCTTATATATTCGAATCAAGCAACTTAAAATGGTGAAAATAATCTTCTTGTGGTTTTTTTGGCATTTTGTAGGGCTCTTCAAAATCTAGTTGTGTTGGTGAAGTTTCCATTGATTTTGCAAGTTTCGCTGAAGCTACAAAGACGACTTCTTTATCTCTGCCTCTAAGAAACGGAAATTGTGCTGCTTTTTTGCATGTTAGTCCCTTCTTTAGAATAGCAAATGGTTAATATCAATTTTTTATTTTTATCAAGCCTTTTCTTAATCTGCCTCCCTCGGTTCATGTTTAAGGTTTTATGTATCTTTTGATTTAGGTATTGATTCAAAGGGTGCAGGAGTCATTAGATCAAAGGTAAATGTATATTTTGAAGTGTTCTACTTTCAATTTCTCAAAAATGCTATGTTAAAACTTGTAAAATTTACAGGGAGGTTGATGGAACTGAAAATGCAAAACGCCAAGATAGGAGTTTGAGAGCTCAATTAAGCAACGACGATATGGAAGAAAGCATTAGCAGCAGCCCTAATGAAGTAAGTGTATGCATTTAGGATGGTTACGAAGTCCACATCTGTTTTACTCACAGGAGACTTTCTATTTAGGATCATGGGACTTTGAGCGATAATGTTAAAAGAGAGAGTCGGGCATCGAGTGGATCAGAAATCACGTTGTCGGGTTCTGATAGCAGCTCAGGACTTGATGATACCCCACGAGAGCCTGAACCAAAGAAGACAAAGCCAACTCATGAACCATTGGCTACAACAATCTATGAAGAACGGCGTGAGAGAGCATCACATTGGGATTGGTTAGATGGTTCACCTCCCGACATGAGCACAGACGATTCTTCTCCAAGTCCTGGGGAGCCCGAGCCTGAGCTCCTCCCAGGAGATACATCTGAAGAGGGTTCACCAGATTCGGTGATCAAAACGCTCAAAATCGAACTCGAGGTTTTGACTCGGCAAGCTGATGTATCGGAGTTAGAATTACAGACTCTTCGTAAGCAAATTGTGAAAGAAAGAAAAAAGGGCCAGGATCTTTCAAGGGAAGTAGCTACACTTATTGAAGAAAGAAACACCTTCAAGAATGAGTGTGAAAAGCTCAAGGCATATCAGAAATGCACCGAAGAAGCCGAAGCCAAAGTCAACAATAAGTTGTTGATCAAGGGAGGAGATCCATGGGATCTTGTTGATGAACTGAGACAAGAACTTAACTACGAAAAGGATTTGAATTCCAATCTACGGTTACAACTTCAGAAAACACAAGAGTCAAACACCGAGCTGATTCTTGCAGTGCAGGATCTCGATGAAATGCTGGAACGCAAGGATTCCGAGATGTCAAAGTCAAAATGTTGTAAAGCTCGTGAATTGCAAAAAGTCAAACCCGAGACAGATGATGATGATGAAGATCAAAAGGCGTTGGAAGAGATTGTAAGAGAACATAGCGGTATGCAAGAGGGATATTTACTAGAGCAGAAGATAACGGATCTTTATGGCGAAATAGAGTTATACAAAAGAGATAAAGATGAGCTCGAAATGCAAATGGAGCAAATCGCGCTTGATTACGAGATCCTGAAGCAGGGAAATCATGACATGTGTTGTAAACTCGAGCAAAGTCAACTGCAAGAACAACTGAAGATGCAATACGAGTGTACATCATATCCCGTAGTAAACGAACTCGAAGCACAAATTGAGAGTTTGGATAATGAGCTCAAAATGAAGTCCATAGAACTTTCGGAATCAGTTCTTGCCATTGAAGAACTCGAAACCCATGTCAAGAACTTGGAGAAAGATTTAGAGGATCAAGGTCGCGGGTTTGAAGCAGATCTTGAAGATCTTATGAATGCAAAAGTTGAGCAGGAGCAGAGAGCCATTCACGCAGAGGAAAACTTGAGAAAGATGAAGATGCAAAACGCGAATACAGCAGAAAGGCTTCAGGAAGAATTTAGAAGACTTTCTGCACAAATGACGTCTAGTTTTGAAGCAAACGATAAGGTAGCCTTGAAAGCCATGTTTGAAGCCAACCAACTACGTTTAGAGAAAAGACATCTCGAAGAGAAGGTCAAACAAGATTTAGACTTGATCAACGTTCGTTGTGAAGAAAAACTGGTCGATCTTTTGAGTCAAGTAACTCAGAAGTCAACAGAGTTGGAGAAGATGGAGAATCAGATCGAATATATGTCCGCTGAGATTGAGACACTAAGAGCAGATAAGCAGAATCTTGAAAATGAAAGAAAGGGTCTTACAAATGAGGTTCATTTGGCAAAGATGGAACTGGAGAGTTCAAGGAAGGAGTTTTTCGAGCTAATGGATGCTAACAAGCAAAAAGATGGCAACTATGAACGATTGCAGTCGGAGATGGAAGCTCTTAAATCTCGATATAATGACATGAAGTTGTCTTTGATCGAAGATGAATCTGAAAAGGAGAAGCTGAGGAAGCAGATATCTGAACTAAAATGCGATCTCAAAAATAGCAAAGATGCAATAAGTAGCATGGAGCAGAAGATTAAGGAAAGTAGCAATCGAGTAAAAGCGTTGGAGGGAAGCAAAGCTGCTTCAAGAAACAATCGTTGCAGCTCGAAAGAGGTTACCAATCTGAAGAACATGATAGAACTACTCGAGGTGACTCTTTTTTCCGTTTCCATTTACATGCATATGAATTATAAACATGCGTTTTGACTTAAATATGGTGGTCTACTTACGTTTACAAGACTAAACAATTGTACATCATATGTAGAGTACTAGAATAGGATGTTATGATGCATTTGAGCATTTTAACAAGTTTTTTAGTATATTTTTTTGAAATATTGTGTTTGATCATCTGCAGGGCCAAATGAAACAAAAGGAAAGTGCTTTGAAGAGCTCTGAAACTTTGTTTTTGGGGAAGGAGAAAGATCTTATGAATCAAATCAAAGAGTTGGAAAGAAGATTGGAGGTTCTTGATCAAAGTATTGCCATTTCACAGGTAGATATATTGGATCTTTATTAATTCATGTGATTATATATATATATATATATATATAATTAATGATGTTGTATATCTATAACAGGCATGTAGAGGTGAAGAAATAGCATCACTAAAGAGGTTAAACACATCGATGGAAGTAGAACTGATGGAGATGCAAGAAAGATATTCAGAAATAAGTCTAAAATTTGCAGAAGTAGAAGGTGAAAGGCAGCGACTTGTGATGACCCTAAGAAGCCGCATCAAGAAATGCTAAGCCATCAATGCTTGTGATCATATATGTACAAATATATATATATATATATATATATATATATATATATATGGTTTTCTTTCATTCTTGTTTTACACTTCTGTTTTATAATGTTGAGGATATTATACATATATTCTCATGGATACTTGATTAATATATGATATACAGATCCTTTTTGCAACATCAAAGTAGTTTTTCTGTTGTCATCAAATGATTCAAACCTGCAACATTCAATCCCACCTCCAATGACACTATTAATAAGCCGTAACACACCAAAGGGTCTTTGGCCTCCTAAAAAGTCAGGAGTTGAAACCTCACCAAAGATGAGGAGGGTGTATGAGTTTATTTGTACACTTACTCTCATAAATCTGCTACAGATCAGGATATACAAAACCCATAATAACTTGTGGTTTTATTGGTATAGAGCCAAAACTTAGATTCAGCTTGTAAGTGAAAATTGGCAGGAGGGTGTTGGTTTTTGGTCCCCTTTTGTGTTGTAGTTTATGCATGGGATGGGAGATTTGATTTGATGTTGGTCCCATTGGCTTTTTGATGTTGTACTTGATGCATCAATGGTTGTACTTGTATAGATCATCATCAACCTTTCTTTTTCTTTCTTGCAAAGCAGTTGCACAAATCAACAAATACCTTGCTTGTTTTTAATAAAATTGTAGCAGATTTGCAGCTTTTACTTTCCTACTTGGATCAACTCTTCTTTTTTTCTTTCTAGTTTTGTCTTCGTATCTTTTGCACATTCTTTCATTTTTATATTTATGTATTATTTAAATAAATAAAATCATAAACAAGTTATAGATTTTATTAAAATCTCATTCAAGATTATATACATAACTGATCCTAACTTTAAGGTATTGCAGAAATAATATCCTATCTAATGTGGCATTTCGGTATTTCTTGTTTTATGTCCGTCTGTTGTGATACGATGAAGGTTATGGGATACCAAATGTTCTTATAGAAGATTAAATTTGTGAGTTCCTTAAACTCTAAACATTATGGGTTATCAATAACTTCACCATGATTTTAATCTATATATATATATATATATATATTAAAGGAAGAACCAAAAGGTTGTTCAACGAGAAGCTTTCTATCTCATTCATCTTTTTTCTCATTATTTTGATTTATTTTTAGTATACAATTAACACATTAATTGTTAACCTTTTCATTTTCTTATTTTTTTAACTTTATTTTCATTATTCTATAAAGAAAATTTAAATCCATAAATATATAAAACTACATACAATTTTATTTACATCAATACGTGCATATTTTTAATAAAATATTATTTCTAATTGAAAATTTGTTTCTTCCTCATAATAATTATTTTTTGAGAGTTCTCTAAATGTGAAAATTTTCACATTTTTTCTCTTATTTTTCTTCATTTCAGAGAAATTTTTAAAAAAAATCTGTTAGAACAAAAAACAGATTTAAAAGAGATTCAAATACATTTTTATCAGTAGTAATTGAATCTTATGAGATGGTACGTTGACTGCTTGATCTATTTTTTTATATACAATAAAACGATCAAAAGTGACTCGAAATAAAAAAAAAACATTAAAAAACATATATGTGGATTTAGTTTAGATGCAACATGGCATAGTTTTTCACGGTTTGATTCTTGTTTTGACTTTCTAATTCAAGCAACAAGAGTCAAAGGTCGTCTTTTGTTAGATTTTCTTGGTCTTTAATTTACTATAAACTAATTGTTAGTGAAAATAAAATAAATTAATTAATAATCTATATTTATGGACTAATTTTTACTCAAAATGAGATAAATCTCACGTTTTATTTTGGATAAGAACAATGACTCCTATACAAAATTAAATTATTTATTTAATTAATTTTTAAATCACTTTATCTTTTATTAATAAATATATTCAGTTAATTTTCACTTTTACACATGAGCTAATTGCAGAATGATTCATAATCTCACTAAATGGTGATTTAGCATTCCAATTTGTGCTTAAACCACTTGCTTATTGCACATAGTTTCCCATTTGCGTCAATATTCAATTCAATTTCGTTTGGTTTAGATGTTAAAATATCCGATTATTAGGACTCTTAATTGGCCTACTAATTAAGTATTCCAATAAACTAGATTAAAAGTATTGACATTTCGGACCTAAATGTGTTAAGTTGTTACCTAAAAAGTAGGGCGTTTTTGTCTTTTTCTTGAATTTTCGTGTGTAATGCTTCACGAGTATAGTTTTTTTTAGAGGTATAGCGCGTTACCCCATTGTGTGAAATGTAATCACTTTCTTATATGTATTGTCGATCACGGGGTATAAGAAGATGGAAAATTTCAAGATTCGAAAGAGACCATTTGTATTTATTGTTTTAAAATAAGAAGGCCGGGAATAATAAATGAGAATTTGCACAAATTCTAGATGCAATTATTCATGCAGCTATGCATATGCAATATATATATAAAACGACGTTGTTTTGATGCTTTATTAACAAAATGTAAGGTTATATGACCTTAAATACTGTCGTAATGTTACACATGTTTCTATAACGTTATGAAAAGCATGATAATATGTTACATCTATATTAATTAATGATGAACATTAAGTCAATGACAAAATTAATGATCAAGGACTAAACCATGAATATTAAACAATGACTACCGTAACACAATGCTTCTCATCCGTGTGACGCATGTTACACTACAATAAAATTACGTTTATAAGACGATTAAAATGTCTAAACAGAATGACTTATAAGACTTAAGTTTATAGAAACAAACAATAAAACGTCATGTCTAAACGTTACTATAGAACCATTTTGAAAGTTTTTACAGATTTGTTTTGGACGTTTTAAAAATAAAATGTCATAATAAGCATTTTATAAGAAATATTCAGCTAAAAACGTATGAAATTATATCCTAAAACAACATAGCCATAAGCCAGTTGGGTGGGCAGTTAAGAAAACATCCATGTGAGAATGATAATGAAATGAAGGTGAGGTAAGGTTGCACCCCACCACCACATAACATGGACCATGGTTCATAAACAACATTGGTCTCAAGCTTTTGTGTGGGTATATTTCTCAACTTGCTTTGCCATGTGATCATCTTGTTTGTTGTCACCTCATAATTGCCTTATTGTCCTTGTCTACTAGATCATATATATAATATAAATACATAATATATATGTGTGTGTGTATTATATATGTATGTATAT